CATGGCCCGGGGCCCTCCGCGCCGCTCCGCCTCCGCCGCCGCCGCCGCCGGAAGGGGCTGGGGCTGCCCGGGAGCGCCGGGGAGGAGCGGGTTCCTCCGCGCTGCACGGGGTCTTTGCACGGCCCTTTGTACAGGCACGCCCTTTGCACGGCCCTTTGCACAAGAGCCTTCTTGCACGGCCCCTTGTACACACACTCCGTTTGCACGGCCCCTTGCATGGCTCTTTGCACGGCCCTTTGTACACACACTCCCTTTGCACGGCCATTTGCGCAAGACTTTCCTTGCACGGCCGTTTGCACACACACTCCCTTTGCACGGCCCTTTGCAGATGACCTTCCTTGCACGGCCCCTTGTACACACACTCCCTTTGCGCAGCCCCTTGCACGGCTCTTTGCACGGCCCCTTGCACAAGACCCTCCTGCACGGCCCCTTGCACACACACTCCCTTTGCACAGCCCCTTGCACAAGACTCTCCTTGCATGGACCTTTGTGCACACACTCCCTTTGCACAGCCCCTTGCACGGCTCTTTGCACGGCCCCTTGCACAAGACCCTCCTGCACGGCCCCTTGCACACACACTCCCTTTGCACAGCCCCTTGCACAAGACTCTCCTTGCATGGACCTTTGTGCACACACTCCCTTTGCACAGCCCCTTGCACGGCTCTTTGCACGGCCCCTTGCACAAGACCCTCCTGCACGGCCCCTTGCACACACACTCCCTTTGCACAGCCCCTTGCACAAGACTCTCCTGGCCGCCTGTGGCAGCTGGCCCCCCATCCACACCGTGGCCGTTTTTGCCATCAGAGAAGTCTCGTGGCTCCCAAGGGACCGTCCCGGCCGGGGGGCCGTTCCGTGCAAGGTCGAACAGCTCAGTTCCCCCCTGCCCTGCCAGCTGGACTCGGCATTGACATCACTGACTTGGTATTCCTCCTCCGGAGCCTCTCGGAGCGCGCGGGAAGACCTCATCCATGTCTGTATTGTCTTTGGTCCCGAGCCAAGGGGCTCCAGCCATCTGCAGCCATTAGGTCTATAGGGACGGTGCTGGCATCCGGACCATCCCCTTCCATCCCAGACAGCCCCAGGAGCTTGGAAAAGGAAGAGAAGCAGGAGCTGGTCCAGCAAGTGCCAGAGCAAGAGAGCACAGACCAAGCTTGTCTTCAGCAAGGACACGCACGGGTCCCCTTCGTAAAAGATCTGTGTGCGGGTGTCACCCTGGGGAATGGCTGGAGGCTGTAGGATCTGAAACTTGTGGAAGAATGATTTCCTGTGGCAGATCATGCATCTGTTATAGAGCCATTTCTTCCTTGTCCACGAAGATGCAGCAACCTGCTTGTTGGGCACAAACTCGGCATCATCCTCACGTGCCCTTCCAGCCCCCGTCGTTACAAAGTGGAAACAGAAATGCTGCAGAGAGGCCAGGAGGTGGAAAGAGGAGAACCATGCCAGAAAAAGCCTCCAAAAAGAAGCTGAATGTTTTTGCAGGATGTTTCCAGGCTCCAAGAAACACAAGGGAAGTGGCTCTGCAATCCTAGCACTCCATGGGAAGTGGCTCCGCAATCCTAGCACTCCATAGGCACCTCGGGCTTCTCCCTCCCAGCCGGCACCACTGGCACTAACACAGTTCTGCAGCTTTGCCAGCTGCCCAGGAGAATTTCCTTCTGCATGGGGCGCTTCTCCAATGACTTTCATGCCACAGGTTGGATGCAAGGAGCACAGCATTTCCCTGCAGCCTTAGAAACCACGGGACAAGTTCCTTTGCTGGCGCAAACTGTTCACCCCCTGCCAGGCCATTTGCAGCAGGAGGGAATCTGCTCCAATTCCAGGGTTTCTGTGTGCGAAGAGGCAGTTTTGCAGCTAGTGACTACACAGCCAAGAGCAACCGAGTTCTCCAAACCAGGCACCAAACCTCCATTTCCATCCAGCTGACTTTAACAGCCAAATTTCCTACAGTGTCCCAATGCATTTGACAGCCCAACTTGGCAAAACCTTTCCATGGAAAACCTTCCGGACAACTGTTTGAATGAGACGAGCCTTGACAAAACCCATTGATTGCTCCCTTCCTCACAGACCTTGGCCAAGATTTGGGCAACCAACTCTGCACTGGGCTCTGGAGACCGGGATTCTCCCCACGCCTGGCCTGGCTGTCTGGAAAAACAGGGGCAAATTCCTTGGCCTCGGGTTTCTCCGTGGGTAATGACCCTGACTGCTCATGTAAAGTGATCTGGGAAAGGAAAAGCCAGGCAGGAGGAGCGGGGGCAATGGGAGAACTTCTCTCCTACCTTTTAAAGGCATCCTGGGAACTTGGAGCATCCAGCCAGGCAGATGGGAAGCGCCAGATGTGCACATATGGATGGGAGAAAACAAAAGGTCAATAGAAGCAGCTTCCAATTGAAAACCAGAAAGGGAAGACAGAGCTACGGAGCCCTTTGGCATGAGCCTCGAGCCAGAGAGCAGTTTAGAGGCACAGGATGAGAAAAAACGAAACCCAACCCAAACCCGTCACAGCAAGGTCACCACCCCCCTGTGCTTCTTTGGTTTTTGAAACCCTAACTGCATTAAAAAAAGTCTTTGATATTAATATTAATATTATTTATTATAATAAAGAACAGTCAAGCAGCGTGAAAAAAATATATCTTAGCTACATTACCTTAAATTGCCAAAAATATACACATTTTTCTCTTTTATTTAATAAAAAACAAAACGACACATGCAACATACTAAATGAGACATTAGCATCAAAACGGGTAAAGAAACGTACCCCAGTGCAACTGAAACACAGATAATCTTTAGCTTTTCTTTGTCTTTCCCCTGCTCTTCCTCTTTCTCACAAAGATACAAACGTTTAATGTCCCCTTTCCAGAAGTGTCCCCTTCTCTTCCCCTCCATGTGGCCAAGGGACCCTGGTGCTGGCAGGGGGCCGGCCGGGAGCTCCGGAGGGATCAGGTGCTAATGTCTAAGTGCTTTATGTCTCTTCCCCCATTTGGGATCTTCAGCCTCTTTCTCCTCTAGAAACCCCCAGGGAGCAAAGAGGCTCCGGACTCAAACCACTGCCATGAACAATACAACACGGGCATGCCCCTAAAAGGGGTAATTTGGCCCCAAATTGGCCATCCCCGTCTTTAACGTAACCTGTGCACAAGCAGATCCCTCCCCTCCAGTCCCTTCCCGGCTCTTGGACGTGGATCTGGTCAGAAGGGACGGGCACCATCCAGACCACCCTCCTGCCGCCCCCTTCTCTTCCTGCTCCCCGGCTGATCCGTTTTTAATTCCCAAGCTTGAGAGCGGTCACGTTTTGACCAGGCCTGGGCACAAGCTCAGGCCCTGGCGGTTACAGACCAGTCCGAGCACGACAGCAGAGCAGGCGGCAACTAAAATTTGGGATGTTAGATTAAGGAGGGAGGGGGAAAAAAAAAGAAGAAAAATAAAGAAAAAAAGAACAGAAAAATCCTGGGCAGCATGAGGCTGGACCATGGCTGTGGGAGCAGGTCCCATGCCAATGGGAGAGTCCCGGGACGTCTGGATAAGGATTGCACCTCTGGCTGCAGAGGGAACGATCCGGTTGGGATGGAGGGGGAAGACAAAAAAGTGCAAGCACACAATAGTGCCAGAGAAAGTTCAGGGTTGGGGAGGAAAAATAAAGTTAAACCATTTGAAACTAAAAAGATACCATAAGATATTGCTGACAATTTGTAAGGGTGCCAGGCTGGCAGAAGGTGGCACATGGTGGCCCTTAACTTGTTCAGGAGGTGGCTGGGGACAGGGACCAGGGCAGAGTCACATTTCCAGGTGCTCCTACCTGCGTCTAGACTGCAGACACTGCGAGGAAGAGAGAGGGGTTTTTCTTCTGCATTTTCACTTTTAGCTGCCATCTCCAACTTCCTATTAGCTTCTTGACATTGTTAAAACATTAGCTTCTCTTTATTAGAGATTATATATATATATTTATAAATATATATATATTTCTGAGCAGACAGCAACATTCTGCTCAGTTCACAGAACTGGAGGCTGAGATCAGAAGGGTATTTCCTCACCTTTTAGCCTTAGTCAACCATTGTGGTGATAATATCTCTCCCACCGCCCCCCAGAAAAAGAAGAGGAAAAATAGGAAGTTTTTTAGCAGATGAGTTTTGCCCATAGAGCTTGTCTGTACTGTCAGCACAGACCCACTGCTGACAAATTTGAATAGTGCAAACCAGGTGGGGGCAGTGGGAATGTGCTGAAAATAACCATGAAGGTCTGACAACTTTTTTTAAAGACGCCCAGAGTTTGTTGGCTGGAGTCTTCCTGCCTGTTCCCCCCCGGAGATCTGGGTTTATCCAGGGGGCCGGGAAGGGGGAATTGTACGTTTGACGCAGATGTTCCCCTTCCCTCAATGCTGCCCCCCGTCCTTCACTCAATCCATCACATCCCAGCTCGAGGGAAGCAGGTTTCTTGGCTGAGGCTCCCAGGCTGCAAGACGGAATTAAGGGCAAAAGGTGCAAAAACAAACAGCGGGTCTAATGCCAGAGCTTGGGAGACCAGTAACTCCCCCAGCACTTGGGAATTCCTTTTCTTAAGTGCCTAAGATTGGTGGAAGAACGTATTTTTGACAGACTAGAGTGACTTCTTGCAGTGGGTAAGAATCGTATTGGGACTCTTCCCCCCAGCCCGACACGTCTCCCAGCTCAGGCTCGGGACACAAGCGCCAGCTTCAAATGCACCTTTGCAGGTTGGCTAGGAGAGGGGTATAATACTGGCTACAGCCCCCTTTGGCAAGCTGTGGTTTGGGGCTCCGGGAATCGCGGAAGGAAAGGGTGAGACAGCCCAAGCAGCAGCGTGTGCTTTTCCCGAGACAAGGACAGCGGCTGGCGGAGCAGACGTGGCCGTGTCCTGGTGGCTTCCACCTCCCTAAGTGCCCATCCTCACCCACCGCTCCGCTGCTCCTCTCTGTTCAGGCTGGGTTTGCATCCAGCTGTAAGGGAGCATCCTAAGAGCCCGGCAGATGAAAAGCAGGTGGGAAGCCCCAGCTGGAGGACTTTGTTTTAACCTCCCCATCTGGACAAAGCAGAGCACGCAAGCGCTGCCACCGCGTCCCTCTGCCCCCGTTGTGTCCCATCCAGTGCTGCCCCCGAGGGCACTGCCCGATCCCTGTGCACCGGGCAGAAAGGAGAGTCCTCAGCAGAGGGGCCTCCTTCCACCACGGTCTTGGCCGAGGGTGATTGATGGTCTTTAGTGCCTCAGCCTGGGGGCTACACACCCGTAAACACACGTCGCACTCGCGCTGCTCCGCTCTGCACGGAGACCCGGTTTCACTGGGAGCCCGCGTGCCAGGCGGCCCCGGCCTTCGCTCCTCCCGATACCAGGGCTTGGTCGGAGACGTACTGTCTTCCAAAGCACCTCTTGGCATTGCCCAGCGGCAGGAAATGCTTCTTGGAAGCCTTGTGCTCATTGCTCTAACAGTATCAAAGTTGCTGACTGTGGAAAGCCACATTCCCCTGGCTGAGAGGAGTTGGCTGCTGGTTTGTTCAGGGTGAGGGGGGAGCTTAGCCCTTGTCCTGGGTAAGAGGAGCTCCCTTTTCAGTCATGCTCTTTAAAAAACAAACAGAAAGAGAGATGCAGAGGAGACAGGTATCAGTACCGGAGAGGCAGCAACACGGGGGAGCAGAAGCAGAGAGCCCTGCTGTGCTGCTGACCTGGCCCTGCTCAATGCAGCCTCTCAGCCTCCGCCATCCAAAAGGAGAGCCCCAAGTTTCCCCTCTGCCCAGCTGAGGCCAAACTGGCCCCTCAACCCCAGCCTTTGGCTCCTAAGCATCTCCAAGCAGGGCCAGGCCTTCGGGGTACAGCTACAGGCCAGGGAAGGGATGGAGGAGACAGGTAGAAAGGGTGTTGTGCAAATATCACACCATCAGGCCCTGCAAGCTGCTGTTCCAGGACAAGGCAGCCCCAAAGAGGCCCCGGGGCTCTCCGTCCACGCTGGCTGGGTGCCAGGCTCCTTCCTAACCCAGCGTTCAGCATGCAGTCACCTTCGCGTTCCAGCACGAGCCCCCAGCAGGGCCAGCTCCGCAAGGGGAGCGCCGTCCCGCCGGAGTCCGCGGTGACGGAGACGAACCCAGGGCCTGTCTCCGCCTCGCCTCTGCGCACGCACGCGGGCCGGAGAGCCTCCGAGCCCACAACCCTGCCTGGAGCCTACGGTTGCTGGAGGTAGGACGGGGCC